GGGTTGCATTTCTTAAACTAATCCGGGAAGTAACTCCACATATTTTTGTTCAATCTGTGCTCAGTGGATCTCATGGCTGCCCTTTCTTTCTTACTAGATTCCGAGAGGCTATGTCATTTTACTCTACTATATATGATATGTATGATTCCACTTTACCCTGTGATGATGATAGGTTTTTTTTCGAACAAGAAGTCTTAGCACCCGAGATAATGAATGTCATTGCATGTGAGGGTGTTGAAAGGTTTGAAAGACCTCAAACATACAAACAATGGCAATCACGCAATATAAAGGTCGGGTTCAAGCCCAAGCCCATGAAGAGTGGGCTTTTGAAGAAGTTAAGAGGTAAGGTGAAGGAGGGATATCACAAAGATTTTGTGTTTGATGAAGACGATCATTGGATACTGCTGGGGTGGAAAGGTCGGATTATATGCGCCATTGCTTGTTGGGTACCTGCATAATAAACTGAGAGTTATTTTCATGAATTTTGACTCCCCAATAAAAATATCCCCAAGGTGAGATATTCTAGAACATCAATCACGATGGTTTTGCTAGTTCCAGTCTGCATCCTTGCACCATCAATACACATATCCATTATGTCAATATATATATTTTTGACAAAGCTTACTAACCTATTATAATATATGTTAAGGCCAACATCCCTGAACTCGGATGACATTCGAACTTGTGACCTCCTCCGTGGGAGTGTCACACTGATACCACCAGACCACAAGGTATTTGGCATTATGTCAATACAAAATAATGAAAATAAGGAATTGAATCTGTCAATACAGATAGTCTTAGCATTCTAGCACTCAATAAAAATGACTGCATTTTTATTAAATATCGTGTTCGTAAACAATTACTAAATTACAGTAAGCGATTTTTTTTATATGTTTTTTTGCATAACTATAAAATTCAAATAGTCACCTTTCCATGCAAAAAGATATTAACATTTGGATAAACTAGTTATTGGATCCAAAAACATTTAAAAATAAATTAAAAACGAAATAAATTAGAGAGAATTTTCTAAATGGGACTAAAACAATGTACAAGTGCACAAATAGTAATTATATATTTCATACGATTAAAAATACACTAACATGACAAAATTATCCATAATGAAACAATATTAAGTTTCCCAAACTCCTAGATCACTATATCGACTGTTTGACAATGCCATGCATGTAAGGACTAAACGTCATCGTACGGACTAGGTCTCATCCACACTATAGCTAGTCCATCGATGCCGCTATCCCACAAGTCACTGAAGACCTCCCGCGAGAATGTCATCTTGATAAGAATAATGACATATTAATGAAAACATGACTTTTTTAGCTGACGATAATATAGAAATTTTAGATTTAACATAAATGTCATCATATTAAAAATGGCATCTTTATGTGCCATCATATCTTCATAAAAATGACATCATTTGGCAATCAAGTTAAAAATAACATTGCTATCTTATTAAATACAATGTCGTGTGTAAAAGTTGTATTTTGTCTAATAACCTGGCATTCCCATATTCAAAAAGTGACATTTTATCTATGAAGTACTACCTTTGTCCACCTAACATTGGTACAAGAAGAGTTGATGCAGTTACCAACACAATGTATTTATGTCATTGATATTAAATTGATAAAGTGAGAATAAAGTAAGAATGATTTAGAACTATACAAACATTATCAAATTTGCTATGGGACAATCTTAATGGGATGGACTAAAAAATAAAGATAGGACTATTTTAGCGGGATTGAGGGAGTAGTAGTTATGGCATTCTCATATTCGAAATTAATCAAAATTGATAAATAATAAAACATGTAACTCAAATATTTCCTATCACATGTTTGTTGCTCATAGAAATCTGACCCTTCATGTGAAATTTCCAAATTCATAGTTTTAATTAGAATTGGAAAAGTTAACAGATTAATTAATAGAAAAGGAATAGAAAACAGAAAACATGGAAGGAGATGGAAAAGGAGTAAACGAAGGAGAAGGAAGATGAAGAGGAAGAGGAAGAGAAAAGCAAGAGGAAGAAGATGTGGGGGAAGGGGGTGACGGTGACTTTTGCGATCAATAATGATAAATATATATTGTAGTTTTGTTAGGGAATATAAAATTTAAACTCCTACTTCGTATTTGGAAATATAACTATGTTTTTATCTCATTCAGGAGTATTTATTAAAGTGGGTATCAAAGTGTAAAGTTCCACTACTACGGGTATTTGACGTCAGTAATTCGAAAGATGTCGTCATATATGTATTGTAGGAAAAGAGAAAACATTTCACTTCATTTATTGGCCAGTCACGAGAATATCATATTTTGTTTGGAATACAATGATTTCCGAAGTAGCGTTCTAAGGGACATCATTGCATGTGATTATGTGAAAGACTTCGGTATTTCGTTTGACGTGGAGTGACCCACTCTTAACTATCTTTGCTGAAGACCAGGTGGCCCGCCTAAACTTCGAATAACTGGAGTTGAGCTTTCCCCATTCTTGTTTTCGTCGAGAGTAGATGGTAGAAGAGACAGGTTGCCGCTTGTTAAAATATTGTGAGCATTTTGGTGTACCATTCGAGTAAAATGCCATATATAACAACGAAGATTGGGAAAAAATTACGATCAATGATTTGAAGCTTGTGAGGGGTGAGATTGTTGTTAATTGTGCATTTTGGTTAAAATCCTTAATAGATGAGACAACTGGGTCGAACAACCCGCGAGTTGCATTTCTTAACCTAATCCCGGAAGTAACTCCATAGATTTTTGTTCAATATGTTACTAGTGGATCTCATGGCTGGCCTCTCTTTCTTACTAGATTCCGAGAGTCTATGTCATTTTACTCTAGAAACAATTTCACTTTTCGTCCCTTGAGTATTATACCAATTCCGCATTACGTACCTGATTTTCGACTTGTCCACATTTAGTCCCTGCGTTTTGTCCTGTCACCCTCCGTCGTCCTTTTGACCAAAAGTCCGACCGTTTTCATCATTTATTAAAAAGGAAAGGTTATTTAAGTAATTTCAAAGCTAGTTTTGCTTCCTCCTCTTCAACTCCATCTGTTTCGTAACCACCCCCTCTTTAATACCCCCTTACATTATCCATGATTGAAACCTAAATCCCTCACCATCTATAAACTTTTCCTTCGTCTTCCTCGTTCGTTGGCACTCCCTGTTCGGTCACACCACAACCCCTGTAACCTCAAAGGCGGCCATGTTTAGCAGTACTTCTGCTACCTCAAAATCAACAGGCAGGTATGAATATGGAGAGTGGATTCTAGTCAAACATTGTCAATGTGGGGAAGAATTGAAGCTTTTGACTACATGGAAAAAAGAAAATTGTGGGAGAAGGTTTTGGAAATGCGTTGGAACCCAGATATTACTATTTTCCTTGATTTTTTAGATGATTGATTTTATTAGTATTTGTAATATGTGATTGCAGTGGTCTGAAGGGTGTGGTTTGACCCTCCAATGTGCAAAAGATCCAAGAAAATAATTCCAGGCTTGTTTAAAAAAACTGAAAGGGTATGAAAACTATATTTACACATTGGAGATGAAGCTGGAAGCAGCTGAGAAACTAGATAAAACAAATGACAAGATGGATAAGATAGAGCACAAAATATACCCTTGCGCCAGACTTGTTGTGTGCATTATAACAGTTTTGTGGCTTTTGTATCCATGTATGCATATACAAAATAGTCTTGTAGCATGGTTTTTGTGTATTCAAAACAATTTGAGGAATGTTGCTATTAACTTTGACATGTATTGATGACAAATGCTCATGTTCATGACATGTATTAATGAAGTTGTCTTACTTTCATATTCAATGTTACATATGTTGTGTTACCAAAAGTATGACCAAAGTAAAAACATACATAAATGGTTCCCCTTAATTAAATTGTAATATTAAATGTTTACCCTACACAAACTGAAAATACAGAGTCATATAATATGACTTCCAAACTAAAATTTCAAAATTATGTTTACCATAAAGCAATATAAAAAAACAGTTGTATACTATACCATCCAAACCACAAACACACTTCAATACATTTTAACCATAAACATAATGAAAAAAGTGATATACATATGGCATCCAAACTACAAACACACTTCAATAACCATGTTTTGTCATAAACACAATGAAAACAGGCATATACATATGTCATCCAAACTACTAATACACTTCAATAACCATGTTTTTGTGACTTCCAAAATACCGCCATATACACATAGTAACATGTGATATCTCCTGGTGGGCAAAAAACATAGTCATAACTATACTTTTGTACATGGTACAACCAAACAAATACAAACATCAACAATAAAACCTACAGCAAAATGCAAGCCCCTTGAGACCTTTCCAAAAGACTGACATCAAAAAAAATATTGACTTGAAGGTCGTTCTGGATCTGGATCCTTTTCTGATGTCCAATTTTTTTAGTTTTGCTTTGCCATGTCCTGAAATCACCCCTTGTGATTGTGCAGCTTTTGAAGTCTTAGCCTTATGTTAGGTCCCCTAAAAACTTTGATGATCTAATAGCTTTTGATGATGTCAAAACCTTCTTTTTATTATCCCTGTATTAGACTAGTTTACTGGTTTTGTTCTACTTTATTTATTTGTAATGTACTCCATATTTAGTGGTAAAGTACTCATAAAAAGCAAAGAGTACTAAAAGAGAAGTAAAAGAACCATAAAACAAAAAGAAAAAGATCAAAAGGAAAAGGTACGAAAAGAGTTAACTGGTATACATTGTTAGGAATGAGCTAGCTAGAAAACACCGGAAATCAGCAGCCGCCGAAATGCTTGGCAGCCAGCTGAAAACTGGGTTTCAGTAAAACTCGTCTGAAATACAATTATCTCTTCTCTTAGCACAAAACACTTAGACAAAATACCAACTTGCAGTCAAAATAACAATTTGATGAAAAGTAACTTTATAAGAGATTTTAATCACATTATAAATTTCTTATAAATTTATTTTACTAAAAGCAAGTGTTCGTTATTTTGTAAGCAAGCATTGAAATATCACTCAACTTTATACTAGTTTCTACATGTAAGAAAATAAAGATAATTCATCTTTTATCTTGCATTGAAATGTGTAAACAAGTTGTCCTGAAGATTGTTGATCCGTGTCACTACGTGACAAAGACAAATCATGCTGCCTCGGTCAAGTAGAACAAAGCAAGTAGATCAAGCTACGGTCAAGATTCATTTCCTCAGCCAACGGTGGAGATGCAATGATCAAGTCTATAAATACAGAAGGAGTGTGGGAATACCAAGTGTGGTAAAATGAGAGAAGCCAAATGGATAGAAGGAAATCATACTTTACATGAAGAAATCCAGCCAGCTAATTTCCCTTCTACACTTCGGCTGCCACCCCACTCGTCTAATGCTCTTAGACTAGATATAATTCATACACATCTACAGAGCTTAGATTAGTTGGTAGTTTAGCAATACACCCATGTATTCTAGACTAGTGTTAGACATTCTGGAGGGCTTTGTGATCAAATCCAGAAGGTGAGAAAGGGCAAGGACATGAGTAGCTCTTGGCGAGTCAATGCCATTAGTGAAAAACCTTGGGAGGACTGAGTAGCTTGGAACATTGTTTAAGTTCCTTGTGAAAAACCTCACAATCTACGCCTGGGCCAAGGGTAGATTGGGACACTAAATGTAATGGGATATTCATTTAGTGGAAATCCATCTAAAATAGGTTGGGACTGGATGTAGGAGGATTACACCACCTCTGAACCAGGATATATCATGTGTCACCTTTTACATTCTGCTCCTAACACACATTCAGTACTCACTCACCTTCATAACTCCACAGAAAATCAGCTTGCTCACTAAAATTGTCCAGTGAACTTTCCCAGTTCACTGTGAGTCATCTCCTTGTTATTTGTTCTTCAAAGTGACCTATTTCTATTGGTCTACATCCTTCATACTCATGTGTTAGACAAGTTCTAAAGCCAGCTAATAAGTTAGTATAGTTCATTGTTATACCTTAACTAAAACAAACAAAAATATTATTTCGGCAGCCTGCTCCTAAGGATTGGCAGTCAGCTCCCACACTGACAGGCAGCCATCTCCTTCAGGATTTCGGCAGCCCCCCCCCCCCCCCCTCTAGACTTTTACCTCACTTGGGACTCAGTTGGTATCTAGGGCACTCATCACCTTAGAAAGAGGGGGTGGACCAAAGATGATCCTGACTCCATGACTATTTCTCTGCTCAAACTCATGGATCTGGTCCTTTTCAACATCATCACTCTTGTTTTCATCAATACCATCACTCTGGTTTTCAGCACTATCTTCACTTGGGTTTGAGTCTCTTCTCTAGTCTGTCTTTCAGCTTCTTGGTCATTGACTTGAGTGAACATTGAAGTTTCTTATAATGAAATAACAATAGGAAACTCAGCTGCTGCAGATGGGAAGTCTTCAAGTTGCATATTGATATCTACAAGGTTGTCCTTATCTAAATCATAAACCTTGGTTGCTTCCATATCCTCATTTACAGCACTTTGACCAACACTTCCTCGAGTATACCTTGGTGCAGATTTTGGTTTTCTTTTTCTAGGTTGAAGCTAAGTGTAGAAAAAGGATAATGGTTAAATATAAATGTAATTAAGCACATAGTGGTAATAAGTAAATGACATAAATAAAGCATGACTCCGTTTACCAGTTTCTCTTGGTTATTTGGATCTTCGGGACACCTCCTTGCATTATGGCCTTCTTTTCTACACTTTGTACAATGCATCTTAATGTGTGTCCTTACTACTCTTACTCCATCATTTGTCAGATCCACAACTAATTTCCTCCTCAATTTGCTTGGCCTTCCAGGTCTGGCAGAATACACAGGAGGAAGTAGGGGGATTTTCTCATTAATAGGCCACTCATCCTTTCCAGCCATTGGCTTTATAGTGCCAACATTTATCTTCAAATATGCTTCTTTTGTGTAACATGGGTGAACGTAAGCATCAGCTGGACCCCTTCCATACTTCAACCAAATAGCACACACATCATGCTTGCATGGTATACCAGTTAAGTCCCACAACCTGCATGTGCATATTTTCCTCTCTAAATCAACCCCATGTTGCGTACCACTCATTCCAGTAATTTCAATGTCATTCTCACCACACTGATAACCTATTAAACCTGCAACTGACTTCTCAATGTCTTGTAACTTTTTCACTATTCTAGGGCACAAATTCAGCATCGGAATCTGAATCATGTATGGAAGCATCATCAGACAAATTTGGATCGGGGTCAACCACTAATGGTTCACTTCCTATGTTCTGTCCTTCGTTGTTATTGTGCATACCACCATATTCAACTGTTGGATATATGTATTTCTCAAAATCTTCACATATGAAGTGCCCTAGATCGGAATCTTCATCACCCCTTGAAAAGTCTTCTAGCTCCTTTTCACTATAAGCAAAATCATTGTCTGAGGTGTCCTCATCTTATCTCCATTGTCATCAACTTCTTCAAATTCTTCCCATAACTCCACAATTTTACCCACATTACAATTACTCACAAAGGACTAGATTTCAGAGTCACCTTTCAGTTCATTTAGTGAAGAATTTGAATAGGAAAAGACTTTTCTTAACTTCTTTGTGCAACCAACTTTTTCTAGTTTCTCTTTCAACACAATTAACCCAAACTCATCCACATCCACATTAGAAAACAAATGTGTAGTACCTCCCATGTAAGATGGTCTGCTACTCTCACTCACTCTTTCTCCGTACCTCAACTTTAGAGTAAATATGGTTTCACATGGGGCTGCAATAAAAAAATTTAATGTGGTAGTTCAATCATTGTAACTAAAGGGAAAAGGAAAAATAACTGGTCCCATTTCTCAAATCCCAAAAAGTAAAGGCAAAAAAGATTCTTAGGAACAAAACCCTACCCTACCGAGCCCAAAGCGATACCCTACCATGTGCACTAAGAAATTACGTACTTAAGTTCAACAAACTTACCATTACCACCAACATTTGATGAAGAACTTTGTTGAGCACTTGTTCCTTCTCCATTCAATTTGCGCCCCATTCTGATGGCAAACACTCCAGCCGAACGTGTCCTCATTCACAGGTAAGGTATTAGGGTTTGACAAATTGACCAAAATCAGACCTTCGACCGGAAGAAATGGTTTAGTACCGGTGTGAGAGAGTAAGCGCAGGTAGGGGGAGAATGGCCTTGTGGGGCTTTTGGTCGTTTTAAGAATCTCAAATTACTCAAATAACCTTCCTTTTTTTAATAAATGATGAAAATGGCCGGACTTTTGATCGGAAGGACGACGGAGGGTGACGGGACAAAACGTAGGGACTAAATGTGGACAAGTCAAAAGTCATGTACGTAATGCAGAATTGGTATAATACTCAAGGGACGAAAAGTGGAATTTTTTCTTTTACTCTATTATCTGTGATTTGAATGATTCCACTTTACCCCTGTGATGATGATAGGTTTTGTTTCGAAGAAGAAGTCATAGCACCGGAGATAATGAATGTCATTGCATATGAGGGCTTCGAAAGGTTTGAAACTTTGAAAGACCTCAAACATACAAGCAATGGCAATCACGAAATATAAAGATCGGGTTCAAGCTTATGCCCATGAACTCAGCTTTTGAAGAAGTTAAGAGGTAAGGTGAAGGAGGGATATCACAAAGATTCTGTCTTTGATGAAGACAGTCATTGGATGATGTAGGGTGGAGATATCGGATTTTATGCGACATTGCTTGATGGGTACTTGCATAATAAATTCAGAGTTATTTTCATGAATTTTGGCACCCTTAGAAAAATATCCCGAAGGTGAGTTATTCTAGAAAATCAATGAGTATGGTTCTGCTAGCGTACATCTTTCTCTTTAAGATTATATGGATCCTTACACCGTGGATAAACATTCAACTATGTCAATATGAAAATCATGAATTGACTAAAATTGATGAATGGATACAGTTTTTCTTAGCATTATAACATTGAATAAAATTCACTCTGCATTTTTATTAAATATTGGGTTCATAAACCATTACTTAAATTATAATATGCAATTTTTTCTTTGATTTGTTTTTCTGCATAACTATAATTTTAAATATCCACCTTTCAATGTAAAATATTAATATTTTGATAAATTAGTTTTGGGACCCAAAACATTAAAAAAATAACTGAAAAAATGAAATCATTTTGAGAGAATTTTCAAAAGGCGAAATTCACAAAAATAATCCCAAATAATCCTTATTAAGAGGCTCCATAAAAATAATCTGCACTAGCAATGTAGTCCACAAGAATAAATTGGAATGAATTCAAACTAAAACCTATTTAATGCCCTCAACCCCTACATCCACTTTCTCATTCACCACTCTCCTACTTGGTTGACACTTTTATGTTCAAACCTCGAACCACATATGGCGGAAATTGTGTTGTTATTAAACGGGTTTTAGTTTGAATTTTCCCCGAGAAAAAGAGTGGGGAAGAGAAAAGTGAGATTAAAGATTGAGAGCATTAAATGGGAATTAATTTTAATCCACCATAATTTATTTTTATGAACATCATTGCTAGTTTGGATTATTTTTGTGAACTCTGAGTAGAGATTATTATTGTAAAATCTCTAAAGTAGAGATTATTCTCATGAATTACACCTTTCTTAAATAGGACTAAGGCTTTGTTTGCAACAACTTGTGCTTAACTAAAAGCATTTTTTGGGAAAAAGTGATTAGTAGTAAAAGTTGGTAGTGTTTGGTAAAATAAGTGCTTTTTGTGTAATAGAAAAAGTAAAAAGTAGATTCTACACGAAAACCGAGATAGTAAAAGTTGGTAGTGTTTGGTAAAATAAGTGTTTTTTTTCTTAAAAAAGCCAAAAGTACTTATAAATAGAGTTTGCAAACAGAGCCTAAAACAATATAAAAGTGCACAAATAGGAATTTTATATTTTATAGGATTATATTAAAAATACACTAACATGACAAAATTATCCATAATGAAACAATATTAACTTTTCCTAACTCCTAGATGGCTATAGTTCGACAGTTCGATGATGCCATACGTGTAAGGACTAAGGGAGTGTTTGCGATTGCTTGTACTTTTTTAAAGTGATTTTTTAAGAGATTATTGGAAAAGTGATTTGTAGTAAAAGTGTATAGTGTTTGAGAATAGAAGTGATTTTAATTAAAAGATAGAAGTTGAAGGGTCTGTTTGCAACAGCTTCTGCTTTTAAAAAAATGCTTTTTTTAATGAAATGGGGAGAAGTGATTAAATAAAAGTTGATAGTGTTTGAGAAAAAAGTGATTTTGAAAAGTAAAAGTGGATAGTGTTTGGTAAAATAAGTGCTTTTTGTGTAATAGAAAAAATAAAAGCACTTTTGACACGGAAGCCGAGAAAAATAAAAGTTGTAGTGTTTGGGAAAATAAGTGTTTTTTTAAAGCCAAAAGCTAAAAAGTGCTTTTTTAAAAGGAGTTGCAAACAAATCCAAAGTGTTTGATAAAAAAGTGATTTTTGATAGGACATTTTGTTGAAGTACAAAACAGCCCCTGCATAAATGAATTTGGGATGTACATTGGTTTTGTTTTCCGGTTCTTTCCTCCGGGGGCGTCATACCCTATTCCCTTATCGCAAGTCGGTATTCGGTAAAGCAGAAGCAGACAAACTCACATAGCTTGACATGTTTGCCCACATCAAATTAATATCTCTAAAGAAACTGGAGTAGCACCAAGATTGGATGGAGAGTGCCGAAAAGCTACCAGCAAAGGAAGATGGGACGAGAAGCGATGGAAGAAGATAACTGAGAAAGAAGGTTTAGTTAAAATATACGAAGAGCAATAGCAGGCGGAGGAAGAGCAATGGGAAAAAGAAGGTTTTGTACGAAGTGGCTGGAGACATGGAATTAAAGAAGCTGTAAGGTGAGGTACAACCATGGCAGACAAAGGGATGAGCGAGGATTGAGGAACGAAGCTGACAGGGAGGGAGAGATAATGGAAGGGTAGTTTGGGTTTAATAAAAATATTTAACATAATAAGTTTGGGTTTTTTACAAGAATATTACTAAAATAAAACATATTTACATAAATATAACTATTCATTACTACAATGTAGTGTTATGGTAATTAAAGCTCAAAACTTGAACATGAATTACTATGATTTCATTACTACTCTAGTCACTAATCATACTTTTGTAAATCATCTTTATTTTGGTCATATTTATATAATTATTTCAATAAGTTTCCATGAAGTTTGAATTATTTACAAAAATACCAAAAAGCTATTAAAAGCATCCCCCAACCTGCTTTGAACTTCTAGCTTAAAAGTGTTTAAATTAATCTAAAATTTGAGTTTGCAAACACTCCTTTTGGCTTTTCTCACAGAAAAAGCTCAAAAGTGCTTTTGAGAAGTGTTTGCAAACACTCCCTAAGCCTCATTGTACGGACTAGGCGTCATCCACACTCTAGCAAGTCTGTCACTGTGGCTATCCCACAAGTTAGTGAATACCTCCCGCAGAATGTCATCTTGATCTGATAAAAATAACGGCATGTTAATGAAAACCTAAGATTTTTAGCTAATGAAAATATAGAAATTCTAGATGGAAAACAAACGCCATCATATTAAAAATGACATCTTTATGTGTTAAATTTCATAAAAAATTACATCATTTGGCAAAGAGAGAAAGGGTAAAATAAGGCAATCTATTACGGAATCATCACATAAGGTCATGTACTCAATAAAGTGTCATATAAATATGTATACTTAAAAGCAATCGGATGAGTCAAAATGACTCGTCGAAAACCTCATAATCCAGATTTTAGATTACATGCTGTTATGTTTGCCTTGTATTTAAGCAAATCCTAACCAAATATTTAACGTCAGTCTTATAATCTATTTTAAAAAGATAGGGAAACTTACACTAAAATCGCAATTACGAGTTTGTCAACATGTCATTAGGACTCATCTGACTGCTTTTTATAAGTAAACGTAATTATATGACACTTTATTGAGTACATGAACTTTTGTGACAATTTCATAATAGTAGATGACCTCATTTGACCCTTTTCTCTTTGACAAACAAATCAATAATATTATTTCTATCTTAATAAATATAATGCTATATATAAAAGTTGCATTTTGTCTTATAACTTAATTGGCATTCTCAGATTCGAAAAGTGGCATTTGATAGAGAGAAAAAATTAAGAATGATTTAGAACTACACAAACATTATCAAATTTGGTATAGCCGTATGGGACAATCTCAGTGGGATGGACTAAAAAATAAAGATGAGACAATTTAACAGGGTGGAAGGAGTAGTAATATGACATTCTCAGGTTGGAAATTAATCAAAATTGATAAATAATACACAATCAAACTCAAATATATATTTCCATCAGTTTATGTTCATAGAAATCTGGCCTTTCATGTGAAATTTCCAATCCATAGTTTTAATTACAACTTCAAAAGTTCACAGATTAATTAACAGAAAAGAAATAGAAAACATAAGACATGGAAGAAGGAGAAGGGAGAGAACTGGAGAAGGAGAAGGAAGATAAAAAGAAGAGGAAGAAGAGGAAGGAGAAGGGGAATGAGGGAACTTTTGTGATCGATGATAAAAATATAATCTCAAGTCTTATTTAGGGAATATAAAATTTAAACTCTTACTCCATATTTGGAAAATGTAAGTATGTTTAATCTCATTTAACGCAATTTATTAAAGTGGATATCAAAGTGTATAGTTCCACCATTATGGGTATTTGATGTCAGCTATTCGAAAACTATCATCAAATATTTATTGTAGGAAAAAAGAAGGGTTTTTTACGAGTATATTACTAAAATAAAACTTATTTACATAAATATGACTATTCATTACTACAACGTAGTGCTGTGGTAACTAAAGTTCAAAACTTGAACATCAATTACTATGATTTCATTACTACTCTAGTAATGAATCTTATTTTTGTAAATCATCTTTATTTTGGTCATATTTATGTAATTATTTCAAAAAAGAAAACATTTCACGACGGTTAACTAAAAAGTAGACATTGTAAGTGCAAAAGGAAAGGTAGAAAATTCATGTAACAGTGTTTTACCTCAAACCCGCTTTAAATATTGAGATGGGGATTATTATTCTAGACTAGACTAGATAGTTAAAACAAGATATAATGATATACTCGTATATAGGGGAGGGTTCAAATACAAATCGGTCTTAATGTGTAAAATTAGAATCAATCTAAGTTGTCCAATTTTTCGATCTGATGTACTATAGTCCCTTATCTAATGCATTGTGTATTAAACCATTTCTGAAGCATTTTTTTCGAAAAAAGTGCATCAGAAACGGTTTAATGCACAATGCATTAGATAAGGACTATTGTGCATCAGATCGAAAAATTGGACAGCTCATATTCATTCTCATTTAACATGTTAAGACCCATTTTTATTTGAACCAAACTTATATGTATGTGTGTGACTAAAATAAAAATGATTAGAAAAGGTGACTTTGTAAAGTGTGACTAAAACAGTAGCTTTCAGTGATTGTTTATGTTCAATTTTAGATTGTACTGATCATGAAGTGATACACATAGGGAGTGTTTGCAATCACTTAAAAAAGCACTTCTCAGCTTTTAGCTTAAAAAAGCACTTATTTATCAAACACTACCAATTTTTACTTTTTCTCGGCTTGCGTGTGAAAAGTTCTTTTCCCCTTTGTATTACACAAAAAACACTTATTTTACCAAACACTATCAACTTTTACTTTTCAAAATCACTTTTTTCTCAAACACTATCAACTTTTCCTACTAATCACTTTTTCCTTACATTTACAAAAGTACTTTTTTTAAGCAGAAGCAGTTGCAAACACTCTCATAGTCACTTTAATTACTTTTTGCCCCCAATAAATTTCTTTGTTGGACCCGCCATTGCACATAACAATTGTTATATTTATAATAACACAAATGTTCCTGTCAGGTATACCTGACAGGAACCTCCGTCCGGCCTCCTCCTTTTGGGGGCCTTACCGGTGGTATTTTTTGCTCAAATTTTTTGTGTATGTTCCTCATCAAGTCTAGTTCATCCATACCAAATTTTTTGTGTATTTTCCGGACCAGTTAACTTGAAAAAATCATTTGACGACCTTCCCGATTGAATTTTCCGCTGAAATTTGGTATGGATGAACTAGACTTGATGAGGAACATACACAAAAAATTTGAGCAAAAAATACCACTGGGAAGGCCCCCAAAAGGAGGAGGCCGGACGGCGGCTCCGGTCAGGTATACCTGACCGGAAGATTACTCATACTCTTTATAATAATACTTAATTAGTTTTACCATTGACCTCTTTTGTGCTCATATATGCTACTCCCTCCGTCCCACTTTAAGGTTCCCACACGATTTACGATGTTCGACTGACCATAAAGTTAATTGATCCATGTGATTAATAGAATTTTTTTTAGTAAATAAAATTAACATATTTAGAAACTACATTTAAACCGCTACAAAACCTGCAAAAAATAATTTAAATTTCATAAATTTTCGATATAT